ACAAAGCTAGTGGAGGTGATGAAATTCCAGCTGAGCTATTTCAAATCCTAAAAGATGATGCTGTTAAAGTGCTGCACTCATTATGTCAGCAAATTTAAAAAACTCAACAGTGGCCACAGGACTGGAAAAGGTCAGTGTTCATTCCAATCCCAAAGAAAGGCAATGCCAAAGAATGCTCAAATTACCATACAGTTGCACTCATTTCACATGCCAGCAAGATTATGCTCAAGTCCTTCAAACTAAGCTTCAGCAGGACATGAACCAAGAACTTCCAGATGTACAAACTGGATTTAGAAAAGGCAGAGGAACCAGAGATCAAATTGCCAACATACACTGAATAGAGTTGATATACAGATTAAAAGCAAGGATTCAAACTCAGGGAGATAGTGAAGGACAGGGAAGCCTGGCAGCTCATGGGGTCACAAAGAGTTGGACGCAACTGAACGACAACAACAATGTATTTATTTTTGGCGGTGCTGGTTCTTCGTTGCTTGGAAGCATGGGCTTTCTCTAGTTTCAGTTCGCCAGCTTCCTCATTGCAGTGGTCTCTCTTGTTAGGGCGTGTGGGCTCTAGGGCACACGCAGACCTCAGTGGTTACTACACGTGGGCTCAGTAGTAGTGGCGCTCAGGCTTAGTTGCGCCTCGGCACGTGGGATCTTTCTAGACCAGAGATCAAACTGGTGTCCCCTGCATTGGTAGGTGTATTCATAGCCACCAGACCACCGGGGAAGCCCAGCACCAAGGGTCTTGCAACCTGGTTAGGGACACTCCAAGGGGTCACTGGTGGGGATGACAATGACAAGACTGAATACTTCAGCCAACTCCTCCTCCTCCAAGGCTTTTCTTCAGTTGAGTAGCTACCCCGAGGTCCCAGTGCAGCCCAATGGAGGGATTTTCTGGAGATCACCCAGGGAGGAAAGGGAGGGGCAGGCTTGTAAGTCGAGGCAGAGGGAGGAGGGACAGGACAGTGAGAAGGGAAGGGCAGGAAAAGAATGTAGAATCAGAAAGGGAGTGGCAGTGAGTGGTGGAGGGTGGTGCTGGGTAGGAAGAAGGGAGGGGCCAGAGTATAAAAAGGGCAGATGTAGAGCTGGGGGCATCAGAAGCTTGGTTGCCTGCAAGGGGTAATGAGTGAGATGCAGGGTAGGGCTCGGGGGCTGCATGGCCCCAGAGGGGACTGGTTGGGGGGCGGCTGTGGGGCGCACGGTAGAGGGTGGAGGCGATGGGAGCCTGGCAAGGACAGCTTGGGAGTCTGGGGACTTGAGGACAGGGTTGGGGGTGATGAAGAGAGGGAGGCAGCTGATGGGGTTTGGGGGAGTGACAGCCTTGGGGTGTGGCTGGCAGGGGCGGCACTGGTGGAGGCTGGAGGTCATGGATACTCTGACGTCTTGGCACTGGGTCTCCAGCAGCGGCAGCGTGGCCTGGCGAGGACGACCTGTGGGCCTCAGGGGGCCTGCCCACCAGTGTCGCCACTCCGGACACGGACCCCGAGGAGGTGCTGGGCCTGAACCGACTGCCAAACGAGCTGCTCCAGGAGGTGCTGAGCTACCTGCCCCCAAGCACGCTGCTCAGGAACTGCCGCCCGGTGTGCCGGCGCTGGCGAGACCTGGTGGATGCCTGGTACCTGTGGCGGAGCATCCTGCCCTGGAAACACCCCAACCTGTGGCCCATCATCCGCACCTGCCTGCCCTCTGCTGACGAGCCCGGGCCCTGCATCCTGGGCCGCTTCTGCGAGCGCAGACCCATAGGACGCAACCTCCTCCGGAACCCTCAGAACTCTCCTGGCCTAGGTGGGGAGCCCAGGAAAGGGTCCTTGTGGGAGCTCGTGGGAGGACGCGAAAGGGGCAGGTACGGGAAAGACGAGAGGCCTGTACCTAGGCAAGTAGGCTGGCTGGGAACTCGGTCACCAAGCTTTTTTTTTTTTTTTTTATGGAAGGATTCTTGAACCGGATTGTGCTGAGCGCAGGGGCTGCCCGGGGTGCAGAGGAAAACGCAAGGGTGGGCCCGCTGATGGCCTATAGACAGAGATGGTTCCTGTCTACCTACAGGTGATGTCCGTAGTTCCCAAGGGTCAGGGCGGTTGTTGAGTACTTGTTTGGTTCTCACTGACCTTGCTCCCTCTTTCCTAGGTGGTGTCAACAGAAGCAGGTGTTGGACCTGGAGAAGGAGGGTCTGTGGCGGGAACTCCTAGATAGTGGAAACATTGAGATCTGTGTCTCCGACTGGTGAGTGTGATGACAAAAACAGCCCTTTAGCTGAGCATTGGCCTTAGTTTGGGTGACTTCATGTGGGTCTCCTAACAACTTCTTAGATAAGCAGGAAAGGAAATGACTTCATCACCATCAGAGCTTTAATACTCAGCAACATCCTCTCCCCGAACCCTCTCTCAGCCCCCAAAGGGACCTGGATTGGAATATGCCTGGTTGGATCCTAGCAGAGGACTTGGATCCAACTAAGTCTTGTCTGTGAATGAGATGCTCCTTGGTTCTGGAGGGGACAAGATAGAAGAGTTGTCTAAGAGATCAGATTCTGGAACCAGACCTCTCACACTCAAATCCCAGCTTCCTGGCTTTGTGGCCTTAGGCAAGTCACAGTGTGCCTCCATCTCCCTGTCTTCATAAGACAGGGTTATACATTAGCCGCAAAGCCGGTTGTTTCAGTGGAGAAAAAGCTATACAGAAGAGTGGGGTTTTTAAAAATATTTATTTGCTTTACTGCGCTGGGTCTTAATTCCAGCATGAGGGGCTCGCATGTAGGATCCAGTTCCCTGACCAGGGATCAAACCCGCTCCCTGCCCCTGCCTTAAGAATCCAGAGTCTTAGCCAATGGACCACCAGGGAAGTCCCTGAGTCTTTATTTGATTGTATTATCTACTTATTTATAGGGTGTGCTGGGTCCTTGCTGCTATACGAGATTTATCTAGCTGTGGCCAGCAGGGGCTACTCTCTAGTTGCAGCGCACAGGCTGCCCATTGTGGTGGCTTTCTCTTGGGTGCAGAGCGCGGGGTCTAGAGCGCAGGCTCGGCAGTGGTGCCCGGGCTTAGATCCTCTGTGGCATGTGGGCTTTTCCTGGATCAGGGAGCAAGCCCCTGTCTCCTGCACTGGCAGGCTGGTTCCTTACACACAGCCACCAGGGAAGCCCTCACCCAAGTTTTCACTAGGGCTTCATCATGTGTTAACCTCCAGGTCAGTTCATATCCCATGCTTCATCCTAAGTCACATTGTTGATCTTCTGGAGTGGCTAGCCTCCATTATGTGACTATAATGGAGGATGTGGTCAGCCCCAACCATTTCATATTGACAGGCCATTTGTGTGTGTGTATGTGATGACACAGAACAGTATAAAAGGTAAGTCAGAACACAAAAATATATTAATACAAAATTAGGACAAAATACTGTGGGAAGAAGTAGAATGGACATCTGTTTTAAGAAGTGGAGTGATATGAAGTCTCGGTGAAAGATAGTTTGTGTGTTTGTACAGCCCATGACTTAATTCTTTACATTTTAATTTCTCACATCAAAACATAGCTATCTATTTGGAGGCTGTTTCTTTGAATGTTGCTGGATAGCCCATCACCAATTTATTTAGGAGCCCCTGGATCCTGTTACATGACTGATCAAAAAACTGTACCTTAAAACATCACCATTGTATACATTGGAAATGACATCTTGGCCACCATTGAAATATATTATAGGATGAGAAATAAGACAATGGAAGGAGGTACCCTCAGGCTTCCCAGCTGGTGCCAGTGGTAAAGAACCTGTCTGCCAATGCAGGAGATATGAGACACGGGTTTGATCCCTGGGTCAGGATGATCCCCTGGAGGAGGGCATGGCAACCCACTCCTGTGTTCTTGTGGAGAATCCCACGGACAGAGGAGCCTGGAGGGCTACCGTCCACAGGGTCACAAAAGAGTCAGACACAACTGAGCGACTTAGCACACACATGCACCTTTAAGCCTGGGATTCTAGGTCATTCCTCCTGAAATGAATGTGCAGACCAGCTGGGGAGTATGTTTAGTGCAGATGGATTCACTTAGATACGCAATGGGGTCAAGCTCCCCCGTGACACTGATGGTGCTAGTTCCCATGACAACATTGGTGCTTGTATTCATGGCAAAGCCTTTCAGGTGAAGGCAGGCAGACCCCCAAAGAGATGGGGTGACCAATTCAGGCTTCACAGTCTCCCTTCTGCCACAGGTGTTTCGATGACCAAGACGCTGACTGTTTATATCGGCTAATTGTCCAACTTTTAGATGCCAACCAGGCCGTCCTGCATCACTTCTCTCCTTTGCCTTTACCCAGCGATCGGTTGGGCAATGGTTTCTTCTTTGAGGTGAGTCTCTGAGAGGGCTCTGGGAAAGGACAGTGGAACCTATGATGACCCATGGCTGTATTAACAAATTGCCCCGGAATTTAGTTGCTTAATATCAACAGCAGTCATCTCATCTCCTCTCATAGTTTCTATGAGGACGATTTTGCTGGGAGTTTCTGGCTCTGGTCTCATGTCGTTCCCTTCAGACACAGGCTGGAGCTGAAGGGCAGGGTGGGCTGTGGGTGTGTACACAGCAGCTGGTGGCTGGCCAAGCAGCTCTTGGTTTAGTCTCAGAGCCTGGCCATGGGATCCGCCTGCTTGCTCTAGCTGGGGCTTCCTCACGGCAGGGCGGCTTCGGGGCAGGCAGCTGCTTCCTGGCGGCTCAGGCTCCACCATGCGGCTTCTGGAGAAACCAGCAGAAGCTGCATCGCCTTTGTGACCCCGCCGTGGAAGTCACTCCGTGAAAGGCAGTCAGCATCACTCCCGCCACACTCTTGGTTACAGTGAAACCCACCCAGATTCGAGGGGGTGGGGATTAGACCCCACCCCTGGGTGAGGAGTGGCATGATTCTAGAAGGACATGTGGAAGTGGAGACATTATTGCAGTCACCTGTCAGAAGGCCCCCAACTCAGCTTTTGAGGGGAAGACCACGGCACAGGGGAACTCAATCTCTTTTTCTGTCTACAGGTCAGCCATGTGTTCTCCAACCTCAAGAAAGGTGTTCGCTTTGTGTCTTTCGAACACTGGGTCCGCGACTTTGAGTTGTCGTGTGAGCAGCACGGAGACTATCCATCACACCTCAGCGTGACCGTGCGGGTCCGTCAGGCACTACCCGACCATGCCTTTCATTCAGGCTCTGGGACCATTGACTGAACCATCTCAGTATTAAGGACTTGTAGCTCCTGGCCTCTGGGAATCTCATGAATCCAGTTGAAGTTTCTAATGGGCCCTGTCTTCAGGTTCTGGAAGCTACAGGAAGAACGTTCTTACATCAGATTTACCGGTTGCCGCTGCTCTAAGGCAGGCACTGTTCTAGTAAGTGGAGGTGCACAGGTGAAGACAGAAATGGTGAGAGGGCTCCTCACCCTCCCCCCACGCCAGGCCCTCTGGTTCAGCCCCTATGCCCTCTGCCCCAGTTTCCTTCTGGTTCTGCTGCAGAAGCGTCATTGGTCTTGTGCAGAAGGCCCTCTCCTCATGTCTGAACTAGAAGCTCATCCCTATGGCTAAGAAAATCCCAGCCCACCTTGGTGGCGAACTTAACCTCATGGGGTTTTTTTTTTTTTTTATATACGAATAGACTTTAACCTTTTATTTTATCACTGAAAGATTAAGCCATTACACAATACAGAACGTAAGTTATATTTCATAAACCAGTACCTGCCCACACTCAAACAGTGAGGGGAATCAAAATCAAGGTTGCACCGTAATTCTACATGATTTTTAAAACCATGTCTATCTGACATTGGCGTGAAGCAACAGAATCTTTATCAGATTCCTCTTTTAAAAGAAAAACCCAAGGAGAGATGATCAAGCACAAATGATCACTTCATGCATTTTACTGATAGTCTATATTTTAAATCAGCAGTATGACATCTTACATAGGGAAAAAGCTTCTTCCTAAAAGATAACTATTAATAATCAAACCAGCTTTAATATGACTGACCTTTCAAGGTCTTGTTTTGCTTTAAACAAGTTAATTTTAAGCAGGTGTAAAGAAAGCACTGTACCAAAAAAAAAAGGAAACTGGGTACATTCCTCATGGGGTTTTAAGACTGGGACCAGGACTCACAGCAGGAAGTCAAACTGCCTCAAAAACTGTTTGGAGACAGAGGGTTCTGCCCACCCTGTGAACAATGATGTGGTCCCCTGAGACCAAGCCTACCCTGGATCCTACAGTGTATAAAATTATTTTGTTACATTTTGAAATTCTTTTCAAATATGGAGATAATAAATCAGGAACATATCTGCCAATCATAGGTAATAAATGTAATATAATCTTGCCAAAGTGTCTCAGCAGTTTTTAATAGCAATACAATGTTACAGCCTTGGTGACTACTGGATTCAGAGTAAGGAGCTGTTTCAGTTGAGGAAAAACTGTACAGAAGGAAACATCTAGAGAAGGTGTTCTCCAGTGGAGAGAATGGAGGAGTCAGAACCCTATTTCCCAAGTCCTAAGGAAATCATGGGGTTATCATGATTTCAAATATCATCATTTCAAATCAAAGGTTATCAACCAGGGTTAGAAGCCTTAGGCAGGCCGTGGACGTGGGCACAGTGTTACAGTAACACATTTGTGACATTCCAGCCACAAGGGTGAGAGAGAACCATGCAATGGCAGGATTTGGCTGTCCCCACCCCAGTCCAGGGATCATGGCTGTCCTCTCCCGGCTGCAGGATCCCTAACTAGTGCCAGGTCTCCGGATGGAAAGCCGATGAAGCTGCTGCTGCCTTTGATGTGTCCACCCTGAAGTGTCCCCCCACCTGCAGTAGAAGATGGGACACACCCTGAGGGGAGGGTGTTTTGTCAGTTTCATCCAAAGGAGTTGACAGGTTGAAACGGACCCGAGAGTCATGACCACATGCAGTGTGTGGTCCTGGAGTAGATACTGGTTCAGATTCAACTCTGGAGGATATTTCTGGGTCAACCGGAGGACTTTGGATAGAAGGAATATGAGACAGGCATTTACAGGAAGGAAAAGATGGAGACCATTGGCTGAAAAACAAACATATTATTTAACTTTCACATATATATACCTATGTGTTGTATTATACCTGTATGCATATTTGTAGGTGTGTACACATATATGCCAAATTTAATATATGTGTATGTGTGTGCTAAGTCATTTCAGTCATGTCTGATTCTGTGTGACCCCATGAACTGTAGCCCACCAGGCTCCTCTCTTCATGAGATTCTCCAGGCAAGAATACTGGAGTGGGTTGCCATGCCCTCCTCCAGGGGATCTTCCCAAACCAGGCACTGAACTAGCACCTCTTAGTTCTCCTGCATTGGCAGGCGGGTTCTTTACCACTAGCGCCACCTGGGAAGCCTCAATTAGACTTATACACATGCTTATTTAAATATATATATATATATATATATTTCCTTGTATTTGTATTATGTATTACCTTCTGGATATCCTGAAGAAGGAAATGGCAACTGACTCCAGTACTCTTGCCTGGAAAATTCCATGGATAGAGGAGCCTGATAGGCTACAGTCCAAGGGGTCGAAAAGAGTCAGATACGACTGAGCGACTTCACTTCACTTCACTTCTGGATATATCTATTCATAATAAGAATATGAACCAAAGCATTACAGGCTTACCACAGTGGTGAACAGTGGATAGAAGTTACTTCTGTACTTACTCATTTTGCATATCTGAATTTCACATTTTCTGTATGCGTATGTAGGAATACTACGTTACAGACAAATATGAAGCATCCTCCAATGCAATTTCCCTTCACTTTCAGATATAACCACTTTTACAAGACATCTTTGCTGACAGGGTTTTAAACTTTTGTTTGGAGAATTCTGTATACAAGCAAATGTAGAGAGAAGAGTATTGTTACTTCCATGTCACTTTCTATTACCCAGAAACAGTTTCAACTTAGGGCCAGTCCTCAAGTCACACCCTTCTCTTTATATTTTAATATTTTATTTTATTTATTTTTAATTAGAGGAAAATTGCTTTACAATGTTGTGTTGGTTTCCGCCATAAACAATACAAATCAGCCATAATTACACATATATCTCCTCCCTCTTGATCCTCCCTCTCCTCCCCCATCCCACCCCTCTGGGTCATCACAGAGCACCAGACTGGGCCCCCTGTGTTAGACAGCAACTTCTCACCAGCCATCTATGTTACACATGGTTGTGTATATATGTCAGTGCTATTTTTTCCTTTCGTCCCACTCTTTCCTTCCCCACTGTGTGCACAATTCTGTTCTATCTGCATCTCCATTCCTTCTCTGCAAATAGGTTCATTAATACCATTTTTCTAGATACTATTAATATATATATATGCATCACTATATAATACTTGCTTTTCTCTTTCTAACGTACTTCACTCCATATAACAGATTCTAGGTTCATCCACTTCACCAAAACTGCCTCAATTTTGTGTGTATATACATATATATATATATATATATATATACACACACACACACAGAGACCATTTTTTAAGTCTTTATTGAATTTGTTATAATATTGTTTTTATTCTGTGTTTTGGGTTTTTGGCCAAGAGGCATATGGGATCTTAGTTCCCTGACCAGGGATCAACCCTGCACCCTCTGTGTTGGAAAGTGAAGTGTTAACCACTGGACCATCAGGGACGTCCAAATTCATTTTTTTTTAAATTTTAGCACAATATCAAACTTAAAGAGAAGTAATAGTTACAGAAGAGGATTTTTCCACCCAAAATATTTAGCACATTTCCAACTGGATGCACTATCACCACCTTTAAGTGTATATTTTCTGCAACCATTAGACTCACGAGGTCACATTTATTAAATAACTGCTTGATGAAATAACAGAAAAGGGTTAACATAGCTTGGCCTCTCCTTCCAAAGGAGTGTGTCTCAGGAGTGAGTCCAACTGTATGCTGAGACCCCCAAGTCCTTCTGGCAAATATGCAGCCATGGGGGTAGTCTTGGGGACACACCAACACATGCACAGTGGTGGCAGGGGTGGCATTGCTAGAAAGATCCTGGCTACCTAAACTATGGCCTTTCTATCTGTCAGAGGCAGGGGCGGGGTGGAATGGGGAAACCCCGTACCTGGAGGCCATGGAGTTGCTCATGGTTTGAAACAGCTAAGCTGCTCTGTTTGATCTGAGCCCCTGTAAAACCGAGTTCCCCTAACAAGTCTATGATTGACCTCTCTATCCAAAACTTGATTTCTTTTCTTGTCCCATAGCTATTCCCCCCAAGATTGAGGGGTGTCAAAGAAAAGGGGGAATTGAAATGGAGTAGGATCCTCCTGGGTACAAAAGCCTTTCCAAGACCCCCATTTCTTGTGTTTAGGAAACAGGCTTCAGTCTCTTAGACTGTCCCTGAGTTCCAATGAAAGAAATTTAAGAAGGGGAGAGGCCCCAAAATATGGTGTGGTTAGGATTTATGGGCTGGGTAATTTCATAGGCTGATGGGTGGGAGATTTTGGGGGGGTAAGGAGTGGAGATTTCCAGGAACTAGACCACCACTCACTTTTTGACCTTTTATAGTTGGCCTCAGAACTGTCGGGGCTTCCCTGGTGGCTCAGAGAGTAAAGAATCCGCTTGCAATGCAGGAGACCCTCGTTTGATCCCTGGGTCAGGAAGATCCCCTGAAGGAGGGCATGGCAACCCACTCCAGTATTCTTGCCTGGAGAATCCCAGGAACAGAGGAGCCTGGCGGGCTACAGTCCATAGGGTCGCAATGAGTCGGACATGACTGAGCAAGTAAGCTCAACAGACACAGAAGAGAATAGCTCTATCGCTTTGCTGGGCAAGGGGGGGCATAGCAGGCTGTGGTCGCGTGTCAGTCCACTTCCCAGAATCCCTCTCGCCAGCATCCTTCTTGGCTGAGCGATGCGTGCGCCACCAGGAAAGACTCCAAATTAGAATGATTGGCCAAAGACCACCCGGAAACTAATCCCATCACCATAAAACCTGAGACTACGAGCCACACGGCAGAGCAGTTCTCCTGGGTTCCCTTACCCTCCCGCTCTCCACCCGGGTGCCCTTTCCCAAGATAATCTCCTGCTTTGTCAGCATGTGTCTCCTCGGACAATTCTTTTCCGAGTGTTAGACAAGAGCCCGCTCTTGAGGCCCTGAAGGGGGGCCTCCCCCTTCCTACAACAGTATGGGTTGCCGTTTCCTCCTCCAGAGTATCTTCCTAACCCAGGGATCAAACTCGTGTTTCTTGTGTCTCCTGCATTGCAGGCGGATTCTTTACCTGCTGAGCCATCAGAGAAGCCCACCTTTCCTGAGGAAACTCCAGTAAAGGTCATGATCTAAGCCTTTCCCTGGCCCTATCTCCTAC